AAAAATTAACTCTGCGACGCGATTGTGCGACTCGCCGAATGTCGATTATTGCACTCTGCGACAGGATCGCAGTGTCACTCTGCGAAGAGCACGATTCCCATTGGTTGGTTGGTCGAAAAGCGCGAATCTCAATGGTCGATCGATGTAAGGGTATACAGCAAGCCTTATAGAAATGTTTAGTTTTAAATGGTTATTTCGCCGACTGCTCGCGAACTACGGTAAACAAGTATTTACCGCTGACATGCCGCACGGTTCGGTAATCAGCAAGTATTTAACATTGATTAATTAACATATATAACATCCCCCGGAGGGGGTGAAAGGGGTTACAAAACACATGCACGTTGGTGTTGGCTGCCTTATTATGGTGTAACATCAGGGAGCTGGTAACATTAACGCCATCTTGCAGTTGTAAGGCTTCGTCCGCAACATTGCTCATTAGCATAGGCGGCAGCTTTAAAGCGAGTAGAGCGCGAAGTACGTTTCACACGATGTTACGTTATTTTTTTTTTCATTAGCAAGTATAATTTGTTATGACTATATTCATCACTTTGATTTCCCAAATAAAACGTGTAGCGGGTCAAACTGTTTCTAGGCAATCAATATCGTTTTATTAAGAATATTAAGAGAACAAAAACGTAAAAGCTATGTGAATGGATTGAAACTACTGCTGAAGATAGAAAACTAAAACGGCAGTGTCAACATTAAAATTAGATGAGTGCACGCTCTCTGCATAAACGGAAACGATGGCTTTGTTTATTTGGCCGATGTCGACGAGAAACAGATTTCCTGTACTCCGTCGTCTGATCACCGACCCTCTAGGGTCTCACGTATCGGTGTCATCATCAGTTAGGGGTGATCTCATATTCAAACACCTGGGTCAAACCACCCTGGGTTAACCCAGTCTGCCCTTGCTCGCCCTAATCAGACCTACTAGACCTACAATATGCAAATTAGTAGTAGGTTTGAACCTAACCTCCGGATTAACTGCCCATTAACGCCCCCACTGAAAACAAACAACAGAGAACAAAGAAGACAGACCTAGGGAAACCTAGGTTTTTCTTACAATACTGTTTCAGCAGGAAAAAAAATAAGATGTATACTATGGAGCTCCATGTTCATACTGAGTGTTATATTTTGAAGTATTAAGAATTACAGCAGCGATTTTTTTTCTTTGCAAGTCTTGTACATGTAAATGCTAATAAAAACAAACTTGCATGTGTTTCACAAATCTATTTACATCATGTCATTTATAAGTGTGA